CTGATAGGCCAGATCCTCAGCTCAGCTGTTTGTGGTGTATATAAAAATGAGGAAAACAGGGACTGGAAAATCATTGTTTTGTTTTCCTGCACATGGTTACTCCGTGAAGCCACCACGCTGCAGTGAAGCTCACCCCGTCAGACTCCCCATCTCTTTGCCTAAAGGATCAGCTCCAGCTGAGTCTGCATGGCCACCAAGCGCTTCCCTAAAGCCTCTTGGTGCTCTGGAAAAGCAGGCTAATTTTCTGAAGTAGTAGCAAATCTAAGCTTTTTATCCTCATCCATCCTAGTCGATCCAGCCTGAAGAATATCAGGTGCCCAGACTCTGGCAGCAGCATTAGGAGAAGGGTTTGACAGTGATCTGGGGGTGATGGGTCTGGGGCACTCAGGTCCTTCTGGAGGTTTCCCCAGATGAAACAACAGTCTGGATACATCCAGATCTGCACAGGGGCCTCTGTGCCACACTCCTCCTCTGGCTGGAAGGCTGCCAGGGCAGCTGTTTGCCCAAGCCACGTCATGGTCTCACCTCGGCTGTCCTGTTTTCTCAGTGCACCTGCTAATTCCTGGCAGTGGCGGGTGAGATTAAACGGGGAGAGGTGCAGAGGAACCCACACCCACAGTGCACACAGGCAGAGACAGCCACCCCCAGGTATTGTCACCTCCTCGCTGACCTGTGCCTAGCAAGGTGCAGATTAACCTCCCGAGAGGGGACAGCAGCTCTTTTACTCCAAGACAGGAGTTTTTCACCCGCAGAAGTCTGGAATAACTCCCCTCCCTAAGGGTTGGAAGGATGTAATTCTCCCAAACGTAATTCTGGAAAACACGTTGCTGTACATCCCTCTACAAAACCATCAGGAGCAGCCAGAGCTGGCACAGACAGACCGAGGGAGGTCTGGCGTGGTACAACTGTTTCCATCAGTGTTGTTATGTCCCATCATTGTATCAGTGCAGTTGCATTTACTGAGGTATTTCTCCTGGCTAGCAGAGACTTAGACTTGTGCCTCCCACCATCAGAGATGGGTTATAGATACTTTAGGACACAGAAGAGGAGTTTGAGACTGACCAGAAGCCCTGGTATCTCCTGCTGTTGTGCTGCAAGGTGTCATCATTTCTGGACCTCCCTCCTTTTCTTTCACAAGAGGGTGCTTTTCCCCATAAGCCTGAGGAAACACGAGCCCAATATTCCCAAAGCATAACCCAGAATAGCTGGATAAAATGGAGCTTGCACTAACGTTGAGAGGCAATAAATTGGAGCTACAACTACAGGTTTGATCAGCCCCAATGTTGTAACCCCTGTGGACAGAGTGCTCCTGCCTTATCCTGCTGCGAACTGTTGGCTCTGAGAAGGTACCAACAGGTGGGAAGAGCTCTCTAGAGCTCTCACCAAAGCTCTTCCTGCCCGAAATCAGTGTTTACCCTCGTGTCCTTGGCTTGCCAAGGCCACTCCTTTCTGCAGAACTGGGGCCTGTCCTGCCCCTGCCTCCACAGGATCCTCCATTCCCGGGGCTCCGTGTGCAGCGATGCCCCAGAGCTGTGCTGGGAGGGCTTGTTGGAAGGATCGAGGCCTCTCTGTGTGCTGTGAGCCATCGAGTGGCATGAGCTGACCAGAGCAGGATGCAGTGACTCCTTATGGCTCAGGATGGCTGTGCCTGTGACAGAGCACGGCCGTGCACTGCGGCACTGTGACACAGCAGCGCTCCTCACCCGAATGCCCAGGCACCTTCTCCTGTCCCAAGACATTTCCATTTGCTGCTGTTAACCATTAACCAACACTCTGTTACCTGTCAGGGGCAACTCTGTGCCGCCTGGTCAGCTGGTGCCCACAGAGCTCTGTCCTACAAAACCATTCCCACACAAGGTCCCCACCTCCACCAGACTGAGCCCGCCAGGCCAAAGAGCAAAGCTGTGTTCACTTTCCTGCATCAAACCACCCCTTTGCAGGCAGCTGGGCCAAACCCTGAGGTTGGTTTTTGCTCAGTCCCTTGTGGCTGCTGTTCATCCCTGCCTTGCTCACGGGTTAGATGCTGTGGCTGCCTGAGATGTACTTCTCGAGGGGTCCTTTGCTTCATCAAGTTGTGAGTTCGAACGAGTGAGGTCCTCACATTGTAGAATAGAATCATTTAGGTTGGAAAAAGACCTATAAGATCAAGTCCAACCGTCAACACAGCGCTACCAAGGCCACCACTAAACCACATCCCTAAATGTACCATCTACACATCTTTTAAATCCCTCCAGGGATGGTGACTCCAGCACTTCCCTGGGCAGCCTGCTCCAATACCTGACAACCCTTTTGGATAAGAAACTTTTCCTAATATCCAATCTAAACCTCCCCTGGCACAACTTGAGGCCATTTCCTCCCATTTTATCACTTAATACCTGGGAGAAGAAACCGCCCCCCACCTGGCTACAACTTCCTTTCCAGTAGTTGGAAAGAACAAGGAGGTCTTCACTGAGACATGATCTTACAGCTGGCATACGTGCTTTTGTACTGCTTTCTCATCCTTTTCCCCACACCCAGGAGCACAGCAGGTGAGGGAGCACTAAGTTATAACCCAATCCTCCTCTCAGTAGGTAGACCTGTGAAAAACACTATGTAGATTTTCATCTGGACATAATGATTTTGTGGGGCAGAGAAGTGCCTGAGCAAGGCTACGTGAGGGATGGGCAGTAAAATGTCACATGCTTTGGTTGTGGGTCAAGGAAAGCACTCCTGAAAACTTCTCAGAAATTCATGCAATGCTTTGGCCATTACAGGTCAGGACATTCAACCTCATATAAGTAGCAAAGGGTATTTTCACTAGCTGCTCAAGCACCTTGTGGGGGTTTTTTGCCTCCTTCCCTTGCTTTTCCAAAGCATGAGGCCCCTGCTGTGTTATCTCATCTGCAGGGTTTGGCCCTTCCCTCTTCCTCCCAGAGCTCCCTACCCAAAAGCGGGGTGGAAATACCTTTGCAACGTGTCATTTTGCAAATACATCCTTGGCAGAGCCTGTTTCCCCATGCACAATGTTCACCTTGTCCACAGGCACGCGGGATGGTCAAGGCTGAGGCAGATGTGGGCCATCACACTGCCAAACCTTGAGTTTGCACTTCTGGACTCTTCCTCCCAGCAGATTCTGGTTTTACCCCAGTGTGGACCTATGACAATGTCTTCAGTGTCTTGGGCTCGCACTGGGACACTGAAAACAGCCTCATCTGACATCTGTGTGCATGAAAAAAATATTAAACCATAAGGCCTTTGAGCTCTGGGAATACCAGGTCAAGGCTTAGGTCCAGGATACAAGAGCACCAAGTTGTGCACATGGGAAGAACAGCTGGACAGGAACATCTCAGATCATGTTTCAGTTATGAAAGTCAGGCTATTCTGTTTTCCACCAGTACTGAGTTAAACTGCTTGGAAATAATGTTTTCTGCTCTATAACCTCGTGCCACGACCAGAATTAGCAGGAAGCAAAAGTGCCTACAGCTCAGCACCAAATGAGCCCGTGTTTTATGACAAACATCTTTTCCCTCAGCATTGACTGTTCTAAACTGCTTTATATATATATATATATATATGCAGTTTTAGTCTCCTTAAAAACTCACCAGGATTTATTTACTAGTTTTTCACTGTGCTGATGGAAAGGAGTGGGGACAGGCAGCTCAAGCATCACCTCTGCATGAGCCTGAAGTGCATCACCCAAGCTGTGGGGAAAGGAATGGCAGGCTTCACTCCAGAGCTCAAATTCGTGTAGCCACCACCATGGATTGGTGGGTTGCTCTACAACAGCATACATCAGCACCAAAAAGGACCCAGACACACAGCAGTTATTAACTAAACTCTTGGTGCTGGGGATAATGAGTTTAGGTGGCTAAAAAAGAACCAGAGCACAGTGGAGCTTGGTGCTGATCCTTGGAGATATCCTCACTCCATCTTCCAACGCCTCCCACCAGAGCTGTTGGTGTGTGACCCTCACCACTGGGCCAGCAGTGGGCTCGGGGTGGCCTCCAAAGATAAAAGCAAACCCTGTTGCAGGGCCCCATCTTCTGTAGACTGGAGGAAGACACTCAGGCAAAACGAAAAGAATGAAAAATGAAAGTTACGGGTTTTATGAGCTGTAGCCTGCAGACATTAAGGGAGAAATCACCTGCTAAGAGGCAGTTTTGCATCTTTAACCATGAATTAAGATCTCTGCAGTGTTCCTCTCAGATATGGGCACACCCAGGCTGAATAAGCAGGTCCAAGCCCTGCCCTGTGGTTGGTGGCCAACCGGTCTGTAGTTAATGTCACCGGTATTTTGGGCATTCTTCCCACCACAGGTCCCACAGGTATAAGAGTGGTCAGTGCACAAGGTCTGTGGAAACTGCGGTTTAAACCTGTTCAGACACCTGGTTTAGCTGGTGAGGTGACTCATATTTATTTTCAGATTGTGTGGGTTAATCTAGAAAATTAGGGAAGTGACAAGAGAAGCTTGATGTGCAGTAAGGAAAGGACTTGGACGGTTCCCAGTCCTGAGAGGTCACGTAGTCTCCATTCTTGGAGACATTCAAAACACAGATGGACACAATCCCGGGCCCCCCAAAGGCAGAGCTGATGGCTGGTGACAGGGTACCAAGTGGTACCTCCTCCCCTCTCCAGAGGGGGATGTTCCCTCCATCAGCAGTGAGCAGCACCATGGATATGCCAGGCAGGAACAGCAGGGAATGACAGGACATGGTTTATCTTCAGGTCACCCACAGCCAGTGGCATCAGGGCAGCTTCCAGTGGCTGCGTATTACAGCCATCCTTCACAGGTAACTTTTTCTCAGCAATGAGCTACAAGTATCCACAGACACAGCTTCCTGCTGCCAAAGGTGGCTCTGGCAAACACTGCTGGGGCTGTCCGGTTTATCATTACTTTTCTCCTGGGAGGGCAGCCCGGTTAAACACTCCAATGCTCTGTTACATTCCCATTTCAGTCACTAATCTTGACGGCACTCAAGCCCCTGAATGCACCCAGGGCTCCAGACTGCCAGCACAGGGAGACCCAGTTCGGCCTTGCAGGGAGCTGAGGAGCAGGAACCTTCCCTGAGCACTTTCCCCCTCGGAACAGCTTTGCCAAAATTCGGGACAGTCGGAGCCAGAGGCTGGAGCTGGAACTCTTAGTCCCAAGAGTTACGGTGGCACTGAGCAGCCCCACACCTTGCTTTGTCCAGCAGAGACTGAGAAAAGGAGGGGGGGGGAATTCCTCCTGTGCCCTTTTAAATCTGGACAAAACAGGTTTTTAATGAAAGCAGCACTTAATCATTACTGCCCTGTGAATTCAGAGCTGGTGGATATTTGATGCAAACAGAGAGTTGGTTGAAACTCTCCCGTACCGGCTCCCTCTTTGTCCCCCCTTGAGCCTGGGAATGGGTGTGATCTCCGAGTAGGAGTGTCTCTGCGGTTAAGTAGAGGATTGAATTACCGAACACTGCTGTTCCCGAGCTGACAAGGTAGCAGAGCAGCGAACAAAAAGTGCCTTGAAACTAGGCAAAGAGGAGAGAAGGCGCTGGGTTTGGTGGAGAAGGGAGACCTGTGAGGACACTGTGCACTTTCCAGCAAGGTAAGCAGCCTCCCTGCACCCCCGTCAGTTTTAATAAGGCCAGAATTGTTTAATGACTTTTGTTCAGTGGGATAGTAGGAAACAAAGAAAAAAAAAAGAAGTAATACATTTCATATTTTTAAAAAAATTTCTCCCCTGGTGTAAGCCAGGATGTCTCTACTGAAATGAGCCCACGCTGATTTACATCGTTTGGGGTTGGAACGAGCAGCTTGCCAAGCTTGCCAAGAACCCATCCAGGCTCCATATCAGCTCTGAGGACACATGCTTTTCGTTTAGCTCTCTGCACAGACCAGCTTTGATTTCGTGCAACGACCAATTAACGGCATTGTTTTGGGCCTGGGTTGTTTTATGCTTTGCTGCCGTGGGGATTTGCTGGAAGCTCGTCTGCCTTTCCGGCACGGTTTTGGGTCCAGGCAGCCACAGAAAGTCTTTGCAAGTTCTCATCGATAGGTTTTATTGTCATCTAATCAATAGATTACTAATGGCTGAGCTGCTGGGCTGCTTTGCTCTGTAAATAGAGTGTTTTCTCGTCCTGCTGGTTTGAGATGCAAGTTGCACTGAGATAAAATTGAGTTGTAGTGGAGTTGAGCTGCAGGCTTTACTTGCCAGTATTTTTCTTAGGCGTGCCTATTAGAAACATAAATATTTAACACAAAGGAGAGCTGATATGAATTAGCATCTGTGGGAGGCTCACGCTCATTCGAGGCTGCCCTAGCACAGATGTAAACAAGTGTTACGGCAGCCGAAGCAAACTGGCCCCGCCAGAGCAGCACTTAGAGGGTGAATCATCCAGGTGCTCTTTACACACCGCAGCTAAAAGGGCCGATTAGAGCCTGCAGAGTAGAGATTAGACACTCACAGGGTATTGGCCTTCCTCTTCCGCGGGGTTTCACCGCTCCCCCGAGGTGCCAGGTGGGAGGCAATGCCAGGACAGACAGGAGCCAGAGTGGTGCAGATCAGAACAGCCCCAACTGCCCTCCCTCACCTTCCTCCTGGCACAGCCAGGTGAGCCTCCCCTCCTCCTCCTCCTCCCTGCACAAACAGGATGCCCTTATCCTCCTCCAGCTCCATTTCCACCAGCAAACACATGGGTCTCATGATGTTATTTCCAAGGCAGGACTTTGTGTCAGCAGTTGCCAAGTTCTCCCAACTGGGAGCAAAGGTTTTGTGCCATGGCTGCAAGCGATGTCACCCTGGTCTCTTGCCTTCTCCTGTATCTTGGGACTCCTCGTTAGACTGAGTCAATAAATCCCTGCTCTTTCATAGCCAGGGATGCTGGAGATGTTCATGGTGCCTCTTGGCCTTTTCCATGGAGCTGTTTTTCTGGACTTTGAGCCCGGAGGTTATCTTTTCTGCTATGGGCCCCCCGGGGAGATGTGGGACATGTGACATGGAAGAGATGCACTCTGGGCTCTGTGACCTCAGGCTGGATCTGTCCTGCAGCCTGGTCCTCCAGAACCACCCATCCTGTGCTCGTTCCATCCCCAGCTGAGGAGGAGATCAGCTCAGACACCTGCCCCATACTTGGAAGATGCTGGGGCTCAGCTCTGTGCTGGGATCATCTCATTTGACCACAAGCCTTTCCTCAGTTTTAATAGAGCTAAAAACAAGGTGGCCCACTTGGAAGCAGAGCCCTGAAATGCCCTGTGCAGTGAAGGGAGCTCAGGGCACAGCCAAAGCCTTGGTGATACCTTCGTGCCTCCTGTCCCAGCTGCATTTTTGCCATCCTTGACCATCCTTTGCCACCACTGACCTTCCTCAAAGTCCCTCCTTTGTCACAGGGAATGGGCTCTTTTGCAGCCTTCTGAAATTTGCTCTGGAACAACAAACCCACAGATTGGGCTTTCCATATATGAAAAGTCCACCTTCACAAGGAAGGACTCCAGTGTGGACACACCCAAAATATCTTGGCTCCAACTCTCTGTTTATTCATGTATATTCTTTAGCTTCTGTTGACCCCTCAGAGGAAATAATCATTCAGTCACAAGGGGATACACTCTCCCACAACTCACTAAAACCTTGCTTTTCCTGAGCTCTCTCTCCATATAATACAGCCCTGGAAATGAGCCTAATTGTGGTTTATCTTGGATGATTATACATTTCTACTGTATTTCCACCCATTCTGGGTGTAAGAGGAATGCAAAAAGGGGTGAATATTGTCACTAAGTCTCTGGTATCCTTCAGTCTGAAAAGTCCTGTGCAATGTAATGTTAATTTCCAGCATTGGATGATGTGCATCCGATTCAGCTGCCTTGATTTCCAGGGGCCTCTGCTTGAAACAGAAACCCTGCCATTTTTTATCCATCTTTATCTGAGCCTATTCAGACTTATCTGAGGCAGTGCTGGGTAGAGTAACAGTGGAACTTGTTATTACCTTATATCCACGTCAAAGACGTGAGGCGTGGGGGATGCTAAATTGCATGGTTGAGCTCCATTCTGGGCAGTTCCTTGTGGAATGAGCTATTCAGAGCAGTCAACCTCTTCTACCTAAAAATGTCCTGTTACCATGCCCTGACATGAAAGAATAGGTTTGTGTCTGGCCCTTTATTTAAAACTGCTCTTACAGAAACAGCTGAACAGGGTAAGATACAGGCAGTGCTAGAAAACATGTTCTTTTTTGGGTTATAGGGACTACCTAGATACCCACCTTCCCTTTGGGAGTGTGCTAGAGCCTGAATTACTGTACTTTGTTGCTATGGAATAACTGTCTGGATATGAGCTGATCCCACCCATCCCAGTGTTTCAGATGCCCGGTTCCCTTCCCGGAGCTCAGACACAACTCCCATTGGCAGCTCCGGGTCCAAGAGTCAGTCCTGGAGGAATGACTATTTCTGAGGCTGTTTGCAGTATTTCCAGGGATGTTTTATTCATTTGGCTTTGTGCAGGTGACATGCTGCTCTCTCTGCTTTCATTTCCTCACACTGGCTGTCATTTCTGCCCAGAGGGGATTGCACACCCTTCCCATGCCCACGTGCTGTGGTCCTGTGTGGACTTGGTTTCACTTTTTATGCCAGGCAAGTGACAGATGCACATCTTGGGAGTGAGGCTCAATGATCCTTGTGGGTCTTTCAGACTCAGGATATTCTATGATTCCATGACTGTCAGATCTCCACAGGCTGGGACTTTGCTGCAGGAGCCCCAGAGCTGGGCAGCACAGGGTTTAGCTCACAAATTGGTGATGTACCAACACCACCCATCACACAGCACATGATACCACAGGGGCAAAGTTACATCTCCTTATTGCCCCATGTCCCTCTTCCCATCATTCCCAGTCATCCACCCCACCTCCATTTGCCCCATTGTTTTCCTGGATCCTTTTCCTACCACAACAGAGAAGAAACACTGAAAACCATCTTGGGAAGGATGGTGCTCCTCAAGGAGCAGTCACTTAGAGTGAGGAGAGGCAGGTGGAGGCTGAGTGGCACACCCAAAATCACAGGAGGACCAAGAGTGACCTCACAGCCTGTCCTGGATTGGAAGGGCTGGATGAAACAGTGATAAACACGCCATGTGCGTGGTGCTGAACACAGGCCTAGAGGATGACACCAGTGGGGGTGACTGCTACCAAAAAGGCATGTGGTGCTGGTGTTCCATTGAGAGGAGATCCCGTGAAGGGCTGGCTCTGCTCCCATGACCTTAAAGCTCACATAAGGCAACTATATCTTGGCTCAGCACCCTGTCCCAGTGGAAGCTTGGGTTGAGTTGGTTGGTCCCCACTTGACTTGACACCAGTCAGGTGTCTTTCATCACAGGTGTGTCAGCCAACATACACAGGTCCTTTGCAGCTCAAGAAACAAACCTTCTCCCTAAGAAAGTCCTTTACATCTCACCGAGCCAGCAATGGAAATGCAGAGTTGCCTATGGAGCACCCTGCTTAGGTCCAGGTCATTTTGTTTGCAATCCAGAATGGAAACCTGCTTGCTTTTTTTTTTTTTTTTCCAAAAGTCTTGGTTTTCTCTTCCCAAGTTTTATGTCACGCTTGCAGGTCTGAACTGGAACAAAACTGAAACAGTCCCTTCTTTTCTGTAGTTAATATTAATTTTGCTGCTTTCCACTGGAAAGCCAATGTTCTGGAGAGTAGTTCTCTGGCTGGTCTGAGGGGAGCCAGAGCAGCACCCCTGCTCCATCACCATCAAACAAAGGTCCTGAGAGAAAGGACTTATTGAACTGCACTCATTAAACTGTGCACCAGGAAAAGCTGTTCTTTATCTTGCACACACACACGTGTGCACATATATACATGTGTGAATTCTTACAATAAATAGGAAACTTACGTGCAGCAGCAAAAATTGTAACTCTTGGACTTGTTTTTTGAGAAGGATAGGCCAGGTGGGCACTGGTACTTGGGTTTAATCAAGATTTTATTTGAGGTATTTGTCTCAGTTCACACTGACAGATCTGTCCAGAAAAATCTTGGGGCACAGTGGGTGGGACTGAATCCCCACACTCTGAGAGAGCTGGAGGGCAGCATGGCCAGCTGGACTCTCCATCCAGAGTTTCCCTCATGGACCAAGGGAACAGTGAGTCCCTCCTGACCAAGATTCACTGGATCTGCCCTAGACCAACCATCAGGATGAGGGAAACCACCAAGAGGCAGTCCTCCTCAGACTAAAACACCTGAAACTGGGTTGGATGAATCCCAGCCTCTAACCTCCCTCTCCTGCCCCTCCTCCAGGCTCTTTTAAATCTGAGGAAGCAGTGGCCTTTCCTCAGTTTCAGCTGAGAAAATGCCTTCATTTGAGAGTTTCACCTCAACTTCCAGCTGTCACATACTTCCTGTGAGCTTTTGAAGTGCAGGTGCTCCCCAGGGCTCAGGAAGGCCTTGCACAGGTGAACAAACACACATTCTCTCCTCCCTGATGTCTCAGCTCTGGTTTTCCTTACCTGCAGCCATGAGGTTAAATAATGCTCTGTTAAAGTGCTGATGTGGGAGAGGATCCTAACTTTTTTTCTTGGAAGTGGTGGGTAATTAGAACTTAGTTAGAGAGAACTTGAACCAT